AGCTTAACACAGAGTCACTTGAGGGCTGGTCCCCTTTAGCCCTTTAATAACAGCATAGCAGGGAGCTGAAGCACCTCTGAAGACAAACCATTAAAAGCTGGTTAGCTGAAAAACGACCTGCCACTGTTAGAGATGTATACTACATAAAAAAAACACATAATGCTTAACTTCATCTAGTCATTGCTGTTAATGAACATCTTCCACAGCCTCCCAGACAAGACTATGCTTACAAATACCTGTCAGTTGTACCTGTCTGTACAATCCAGAACCACAAAATGATCAACAGAAGCCATAAAACACTCTTCAAGAAAAAAAAAAATGTGAATTAGAACAGAATTGTGTATTTCTTGATACGGGACAGTGTTTGCATCATCTTCTCCAGCCAGGGATCTTCCCGAGACCTTTTAGCGTGCTTATGGTTTATGTTACTAAAATTGTCACCAACATGAATTACTGCCTAAAGCTGTGTGGTTTCCTCACCGTATCAGCAGAATGTTTCTACATTTTGTTTGTGGTTTTTTTTTATAAATACAGAAGTAACTTGGTCTGTGTAAGGAATCCTTCCTAAAATAAGACAAAGCTAGAAATGCAAGCCTGTGACAGGTATGTACTTTAAATGTGTCCTGACCAACTGAACTACACTTCCAGCCCCTGTCCCCACACTTTCACCATGTATCTTTACCCTGCCAAGCAAGATTCTGCTCTCACTTCTTCCAATTCCATGCTAGGACCTCAGTCTCTACTGCCTGGGCCAAGCTGATTCCCTCTCCCAGAAAACAATCACACTTTCATGCCTCCTGCCTCATGGCTGCTCCAGCCTCCTTAGACAGGAAGGCAGACAGCAGAACTTGTTATCATCCTGCATGCAGACTGGGCTAGGGAGCCAGAACTGCTACCAGGTACTGCAGAACTCTGTTGCTGACCACATGCATGGAGACACCCTGCAGCTGAGGTGAACACCCACACAGAGAGAGGCAGAAGCTATCAGAGGAGAGTGCCACACTGGCAAGATTCCAATACCCACAGTTTGGGAATCTGGCATAACAGTGTAGCTGCAGCGCTTTGAACTACTGCTGCAGAACTCTCTCATGTCCCTTGCATGTGAGCATGTGAGCACATGTGCAGTTCTGGGAGTCCTGAACTACCACTAGAATAAATCATCTATGATACATTAACAGCTATTGACAAGCCTTCAAAAATGGCTACTGGATTTGATTGCAAATGCCCATTAAAATTAGCAGCAGTTCAGGGTTTTTTGAGTTTAAATGAAACAATTCTCCTCTCCAAAGCACATGAAAGTCTTTGTTTAAATAGTGTATAGTTCCAGTATTCATCACACACTGAGGACTGCACTGGACTGTTCTGTGCTGTAACTTAAATTTTATATGTATCTGGGGTTCTGGGTGAATTACAGCAACTATAGAAGCTGCTGTAGTTTACAGAACCATATTATTATCCTCACATTCTGGGTCAGACCAAGCAGTGTTGCCAAAATAAGTCATTGCAGTCAGATCTGCTCAGGCACTTGAAGAAGTGACCCTCTGAAAGGGCTTCCTGGACCTTCCAGGCTCTGCAGGGGCTGGTGGAGCAGCTCACTGCTCCTCTGCCTCTGGCTCTCCACACGACCCCTGGATCACCAACAAACCTCACCGACACCACTTCCAGGTCTAAGGTCCAAAGCACCCCACTCGGTACCTCACGATAACAGAAGTACACCACTGATGCCTTGCAGGAATTGAAATGGATCAAGAGTATTGTTTACATTTGTGAAGCTCCTTACGTGGCAGGTTTTTCTGCTACCAAAAGCTGGGCAACCAATGCCTCCTGCCTCCATAGTGCAGTCCCACGGTCCCAGATGTCACGGCATCTTGCGATGTGAGAACACATCCTCCTAGATCAACTTTTCTGGGGTGCTAGACAGCGAGCTTCCACTCAGTAATACCCTTTCATTTTGCTAAATTTCAGCTCCATAAATAAGGACTCCATTCTAACTCTCTTTTGGAGGCCAGAGCTGGGAAAATATCCAATGTAAATAGAAAATAAAGAGCTGTCGTTTAGCATTCTGAACCAGGCTGGCTACTTGTCAGCTATAATATAAACATTAGAGATGATGAAGCTCCTGTAACCCTCATCTTTCTTTCCACCCAGGTATGTTTACTGGGCTTGTTAATACATACAGTGTGGCAACTGTCTTCCTATGCAGCTAGAAACTGGAGCACATTAAGAGAGAAATTGGATCATTCTACAGGAGTTGCAAACCAAGTGATTATCAATATACTATAAAGTTTTATGAGCAAGTAATTTGTGTCTTCACCAAGAAAAAAAAAAAAATCCCCCTAAAGCCTACTTCAGAGCAAACTGGGAAACTGCCAAAAGGAGTCAATTAAATGATGTTTAAACTTGCAGGTTTTGGATGGAGACAATATATTAAAAAGGTGGAAGCAGTTTTGCTGACATACATTCTGCAATGAGTTATTTGTTTTAGAAGGAGGCCACAGCAGCTCAGGAGCTTTAAATCCACTTTCTGACAAATTCCTTTGGAAAGGAAAAAAAATTTTTTTTTAAAAATCACTTGTTTCTCTTTTCTTTCCCCTCCCTCTATTTTAATTAATAAAGCAGCATACTGACACTTACGTTTCCATAGTCACACACAAAATTCAGAAGACAAGACCTACATCTCTTTGCCAGAAAACGTTCCCTACTTTAGTAGGGGCATATGCATAATTACATTGTAATTTTATGAGTGATGCAATAAACTGAAACATTTCCTGAAATTCTTTAAAATTACAGAAATGCATCCTGGTGAACTGAACAAATTACACAGGAAAAATACATTTCTCACTACACTTGTCTCAAACCCCAATTTATTCTCCAGTTGTTGCCAATTTTAACAATTTATGGTGATCTTGCAAGGCAGACAGATATCCTCCTTGGTAACAGACAGGGAGATAACCCAAAGCCTGATCTGCATCAGTGGAATAAAAAAAAAAGAAAGAAAGGAAAAAAAAAAAAATTCCTTCTGAGTTTCTGACACTGATGACTTCCAGACCAGAATGACCCTTCATATTTCCCACAGCTATTCTGAAATCTCCATTTGGTTTTCCTGAAAGAAAGTAGTAACAAGTAGCTAGCTACTTATTAACCGAATTTCTTCCTTTTTCACCTTCCTAAAATGGATAGTTTATCATTTGCCTGTGAACAATGAGGCTCAAAAAGAATGAAACCTCACCACTCTTTAAATTGTTACTATTATATTTTTATTAGAATGATGTTATGTCAAGTGATTATACCAGTTACATTATACAATATTACATAATAATTCTATAATTTTTTTTTCAACAACTAAATGTCTGGGTTTTTTTTTTTTTAAATGGCTCTAACATCATCTTTCCAACCACACTGAAAATACATGGATTGGAAAAGAGAAAGAGAGAGATGCTGGCTTAATTTATACATTTATTATCTTGCCCTTAATTTTGTCCCTTCTCTTTTGTCCATAAAATTATCACCAAATCAGCAACTGGAGATTCAATGAGTTAAAGTTTAATTAGAGAACAAACATTACTGTAAATAAATAGAGAAAAAAGTATGTTTATTGAAAATGAAATGGATGATCTGTAGACAACAGAAGTATTTACTGAAGTAGTTTCTTGTCTGGCACCACTGAAATGCTGAAAGCCAGGAAGGAGGTTTGTTTTGGTTTCTTTTTTAAATAATTACTAATGAGTTATTCACATCATGTAATTTGAGAAGGATTTTTATTGCAATGCATAGTATTTGCATAAAGTAGAGTGTGGCTCTCAGACCAAGGTATTCTCCCTCCTACACTCCAACTAAAACAAGAGGGAAGTGTGGACATTCACTTGGCAAAACGGCTGCAAATGGAAACCTGCAGCTGTTCTACTCTTGGATCCCAAACTCTGGGGAAGTCCATGCCAATGTGTGGCACAAAAACCTGCTGCTCTCTCCCACTATGAGCTGGGTGCTCCCCACCCTCACTGCTGCGTGCAGGAGACCCTTGCTGGTGAGCTGCCCAGCAGAAGCAGGCCCATTTCTCTACCCTTGCTGCTTACCGTGCTCTGTTCAGACAGAAAAGGTGGGAACAGCTGAGCAACTAGCAGAAGGCAGTGGCCAAGATCCAAGTTTAGGGAATGCAGAATGCACCTTTGCAAAAGTTGCACAACAGTTTGCAAAGCCATTTTGCAAAACTATTTTTTTTTTTTTTTAAGCAAAACTATTCCAGAATCTGATGCAACACTGAAAGAAGCAGGATCTTAAGCCAGGAACCTGAAATTTGGCACAAAGGGAATAGATAATCTGCCTGCTCTCTCTGTAGGTAAGCAGGAAGTAGGAAAAATTTTGAAGCCCTTTCCCCACTCCGCCTCCTCAATGCAGTGATAAGCATCTACCACCTAGTGAGCTGCAACTAGCTATTAAGGTCTGATTAAGATGCTTTATAAAACATAATAAGCCATGAGATAGTATAAGCATGTATGAAATATCTTATGAGCAAACATCAATAATGGCTGAGGTGTTCAGAACTGCCTGTGTGATTTCAACACCTTCCAGTAAAGCCAATACTGTGCATGTCTCAAGCAATATTCCTTCCCAGAAACCCCTTTTCCTCCTCCAGATACAAAAGACTTAGGCATGATTCATTTTTGCACAACATTTCAAAATTGCTTAAACACCTTAGGACATGCAAGAAGGATGATAAATGTCTAACTCCACCACCACAGCATTTACACAGCAAACCTGTACCTGTGTTTGGGTTTTGAAAGAGTTTCCATTTGGGTCACCCCACCAAAGAGGAAAAATAAAATTCCTTATGAACTCTACTTGGGAAACTTTGCTCCCTTTGGAACTGCAGGTCCAGGTATGTTATTACACATACACGTTTATACTTCAAAACTCTATACAACGATGTAAATATCTACAAAGTGACTGAAAGTGGAACCTGGAAAACAATACAAGAACAAAAGCAAAGTAAGAAAACTTACAAGGACTGTAAGCCACTTAATCCTCTGATGGCCTCATTAGGTACAGTCTTCAGCTGATTGTTCTGTAGGGTTCTGTAAAAAAAACACTGTATTAGTTAAAGCAGAATTTGACAATAATCTTTATCAAGGGTAGAGGTGATATAAAAGCCCACAGTCCTGTTATGGTTTCACAGATTTCTAGTGCACCCAAAAAGCATGTAGGATTATCAAGACCAGATGCCCAAAGGCAACGATGAAACAAGAAAATGGTCTCCTTCAGATTTTTTTACAACTCATTAATTAACTGCATTCATTTGCAGAGGACAAGCCTCTGTCTTAACACAACAGAATTCCCTTTGGAACTCACTGAAAAGGTTCAACAACTAACACACGAATAAATCTGCTACAGTGAATGATATTTTATTATTTTCTTGTGAAACTATCCTATACGTGCTACAAAATACACAAACCTCTAATTTTTCTTAAAGCCGCATCAATACACAATGCATTAACAACCTAATTTACAAAGGAAGTTCACAACAAAGCACCTCTGGGCACAACATTAAAAAGAGAGAATGAAGCTAGAGCCAAGATGAATTAAGTTATACCATTGGGTTTTGATGTTTTGAGTTTGTTGTTTTGTTTTGTTTTTTAAGAACTTCCCTTACAGGACAACATATTACTGCACGATGAGTCCTTTCATAAAGAAAACGTAAATAACTCTCACACATTATAAAATCTTATTAGATTTTGGTGCACACACTGGGGTGAAATGCAAGTGGACAAGTAAGTTAACTGTTAATTAACATCCAGGTCCCAAATTTTTCAAGAACTGCTAGAAGTTCAGGCACCTCCAGTGTTGAGCGCAGTGATGGAGATACCTTCATGAGGTATCACCCTGACACTCTGCATTCAATTTATAAACCATCATATTAAGCAGTATTGCAGATAGGCAGTTTCCTAATTTGTATCCTGCTTACTCTGTCCGTTTATGCTCCTCTCTTTACAACCTCAGGCTCCTTTTTCACCTCTTTTAAAGTATCTGTTTAATTAACTATTACACTACTAGCAATTTGAAACATTTACATTAGCATAAATACCACCGTATCTGGATACAAGTTTTTAAAGCCCCCAAACAACAGAAAACTTTTTACCTTTAGCTATGGAAAACCAGTTGAAATTAATATTCTTATCTCAGAAAGAGAAACAGGATATGTGAAACAGGGCACACAATTCTAATTTTTCTTTCATTAAAATGTAGGGGTTTTTTTCTAATAAGTCATTTTCAGATAAGGCAACAACAAACCATAGAAATTGTCTCTATCACCAGTGGGGGATGATTCAAAGGTCAAACTGTTTTAAACCTCTGTAAGTACTGACACTACCTGATCAAGTCAGGGCACCTGATGGAATAAGTCGAGGGGGTGGAGAACATAAAAGCTTTACATGCTTTACATGTTCTTATTCAGATTTTTCCTTTTTAGGATTCTTCTGCTACAAGATATATTTCAGAAGCAGTGTTCAAATTAAACACAGTAATTACAGTTTAGTAAAAAAAAAAAAAATAGGAGGAGGTTTCCTCTGGCCTACCAGTAAACAGGCTGGCTGGGCACTAAGCAAGCATACAGTTAGCTAGGAAACTCTTAAACCCGATTACTTACAGAACTTTGAGTTCTTTCAACCCAGACAAGGCCTTTGGATGGATAAAAGAAAGGTCATTGCCAGCCAGTCGCCTGGAAAAAATTTGCAATAATAATTTCAGTCACAAAATACAGTACTTCTACAACCATCTAACGAGGAGGATCACCGAGACATCAGATCCTGCAAGAAACAATGCATTTGGCAGACCATTACACCACATTTTGCAGTAGTTATTTTAGTCATTGCCCATTTTTTAACGACAAGAATGCATTACTCAGCCTCATGGATCTGCTTTTGCAAACATTCCAGAAAAAAACACACCCCAGAACAATAAAGAATCTTCTTATGCATTAGGCTTGAAACGTGCGTTTACATTATTAACATGGCCCTCTGGCTTTCAGCATAGCTCTGCTGAAACACATGCTCTGGTGTCCATGTGTTTTTAATCTGTACAGCAGTTTCTAAAAAACTATGCAGTTAAGTAAAAATAGCTAAATGCTAGCACAAGGCAAAGCAGAGTTGCTATGAGAATCCCAAACGTGAAGACGATATTCACAAGCAGGAGGTACGTTCACTGTGCTGACAAGTGACAGGATGCCTGCTGATGTGACCAACACATCATCTGGGCAGCATTTCACCAGTTCTGGTCAGCTATTCGGATGAAGTTTCAGGAAAAGAAAGCTGGTTTGAGGGAAGGAGAAAGGGAACAGGATCCTCAGCTGTAGTCTCTCTCAAGACGTGGCCAGTTTCAAACTTGGACTGCTAGACACTAACACAAAGTAAATTGTGAAAACCACTGTGATATTAAAAGTAATAAATATAGGAGAACATAAAGCAGGAAAGCAGAAACAGCAGCCAAAACAGCTGCCTTCAAACAGCTCATTCCCCCTTCCCCTGCTTTTTTTCTTCAACCTTTCTACCTCTACCCTGACCAGCAGATTGTGTGGTCCAACCTTTGTTGAGCTGTTAATAGTTGTGACACGAGGTATTTTATTCAGGGTAAAAGATAATAATGCCAAACACCTGGGAACTCACAGCTGCCAAAAGATGCCATCACTTCAGCCAAAGTATTTGCTTTCCAACTTGGTTTCACATCCAAGCTAAGCAAAAGCCACGTTAGAGAAGGCTGCACAATAAAATCACCCAGAGGAAATACCATATAGAATGGAGTGTTCATTATTGAAACAGCCCCTGTGCTTTAGAAAGGTTACAGAACATCAAACCCCACCTTGCTGTTACAGGGCACTGTGAAGCAAGGCAGCCACACCAAGAGGAAAAATACTATTTCAAAGAGGCAAATGAAGGAAATATCACAAGCATCAAAGTATCAGTGTACCAGAACATAGCAAGGTTATTACATTTTTATCTTAGTTGCCATTTCAAACTAGATAGAAGTGATTACCCAAAGCATCTGATGCCTACATAAATCTGCTTACAGCAGAATTAACGACTTCATAAAATTCTGCCTGATAGAGAGGATGCTAATCAAGTTTATCAAATCCATGTGTCAAAGGTTTTATTTCTAAACCAAGAACACACAGGAAGGTGACAACAGCCACAGATGTTACTCCATTTTAGAAAACTACATTAGTATTGTTTAAAGGAGACATTGGTATTTTGTACTTGCATTCTCACATACCCCCCAGTCACCACAGCTATGGCTCTGATATTATTACACGCATGCTTAAATCTCAGCTTCTTAAAAAAAAAAAAACCACACACACACATCCCCTGAATGCTAAGAAGTCTGCCTGCCTGGCTTGTGCATAACCAAACAGCTCTGAAACAAGAAGAAAAATAAAAACAATCAGTGTACACTTACTCTTGAAATCTGTCTGCAAATACCCTTGGGATTTCAGAACTGTGACATGATTTTTGAAATACTTTGAATTTTTAACATGAATGAAAAATTCCAGATGGCAACTAAACACTCCTCTGAAATTCACTTTGTTGTCAGTAGCTGCCCAAATCTACTATATTAACTTTATCTGGGGGGACGTGGAGGGAGGTTTGCAATATTTCATGGCTTTTTATTAATTTCCTAAGAAGTTCACTGTAAACAGAAAGAAATATTGATGAAACATGCTAGGCCTTTACACAAGAGAGGCAGTGATCTGTAAAACACATGTTAAAAGTGTCCAAAACATCAAAATAGAAATCCTTTAATCAAGTGAAATTTAACTGAGGCTATAGCACTGAATTATTCTGGCACTCAAACACTACTGGCTGATGCAGTTTACCTACCACACATCAAGAAGGGGCAGCCGTGGCCCGTGTGTCAGGCAGCTCTGGCTGCAGCCCTGCTGAGGTTCCCCACGACTTTGGCTGGTGGGTGGCTCATCAGGCATCTGCTGTAACATCTCCCTCCCCAAAAGAGGCTGGGGATTATGATTTGTTTTAAAAAAGCTAAAATAAATCCAGTTGACTGGCCTCTCCCAACCTCACGGAGTGTCGCTAACACAACCTACAGAGCACTGGAAACAAAATACAGCTGAGCCAGAGCACGGCTTGCGTGACTTCAAACAGCAAGGCTCTGCCTACCTCAAGGCAACTCCTGTTTATTCAGCCTTTTTGCAACCAACCAACAGAAAAAAAAACCCCTTGCAATCCATTACATTTCCGTTTTCTCCTCCATTTGGCAACCTTCCAGGAAACAGGATACAACTAGCCAAGTGTGCAAAGGCTTTACTAATCAGATTGCCAAATTTACATTTATCATTCCCTGGGGAGCATGGCTGCTCCTCAGGAGGTTTGCAGCTCTCCAGCAGGCAAAGACCAACGTATCCTACACTGCTCTCGACACGCTTCCCCCTGCTGCAGCATGCAGCAGCTGCCAAGGTGGAAAGCCTTCTCCTTGCATAACCAGGCTGATTTTAGGGAGAGGAATGGAAAGTGAATAGCATACAATATAGTGCACGTACAGCACATGTGTTAAGATGCCACTGAAATCATACATCCACCTTTTCCACCTTTTACCTCCTCTCAGCATGTCTCAAAAATAGCCACATTCTGATTTTCAAATACAAAGTTTAGAGTAACTGAATATTTTAAAAGCACCTCTGCTTCTCTCTCTCTCTCACACGTGGTATATAAAATCACTCCAGCACAGCAGAAAGGAGGGAAGCTTCATCTCCTTGCATCAAGACTCACTAACCTGCTTGGGCCCAGCCCATGGAGGGACAACTCCACACTTCAGTGAAGTGGCACCTGAAGGCAGCCCTCATGCACGCTACTGAGAGCTGAGCACCCATCCTTCCCTTCTTTTTGGGTGAAAACAGTCTCACAGCCCTGGTGCAAAAGTCCATCTACTGTTCCTGAGCCAAGGCGCATGACCATTAGCTGGAGCTTGTCCTCCAAAAGGCAGAGGACTGGAAAACAGATTTATGCACAAAGGCAAGAAGGGCTTCATTTAACAGACCACTGCGAGGTGCCCTGCTATGCTACAGGCCACAGAAACTTAGACTGCTGTCTCTTACTTCTCAAGGTGCACTGACACAGCAGGACAGCTCTTGGTCAGTGTGACAGATGTTTACACCACGCTTTAGTGACAACTGCTGCTAACCCCACCATGATTCTCCCTGTCTGGAAACTCTTCCCAGGACTGCAATGCCCAGAGCTAGCCCAGTCGAGTTACACCTTGGAGGCTCCTGCAGTGGAATCACAGATGTAATATGTGGCCACATTAGTATCTATCTTCTAGGCTGCCTATTTCCTTGTAATGGCTTAGTACTGAATATTGTAGTTCTCTACTTTTACTTGGAAAAAAATAAAAGTAAGAATTGAGTGGACAAATGCAAACAAACAAGATCAGTTTCAGCACAATGGGATAAGAGAGTAGGACATACAGAGGACAAAATACTTCTGCCATCCTGTCATATATAGGTGAGCGATACGCTCTAATCATTACACTAAGTGACACAGTAAATGATCTCCAGATGCAGAGGACACCTTGTTGTTATTACAGAAATCAAGGTGCAATCTGGCTGGGGAATCATCTTCCACAGTATCTCGTTCCCGAAGTAACAGCAAGCACAGCTTCCTGCACGGGAACTCCTCTGAAAGCAGCAAAGACTGTATTCTCCCTTTTGGGAAATTAAAACTCCTGCAATTATGAGGCTGGCAACTCGCCTGCATGTTAACCAAGCCAAGTTAATCAGTGGTGCCACTCCAAAATCAGAGAGGATGTCCCAGGGATACATTTTTGTCTGTAACCATTAAAACCATCGCTCTCATTTTGACAGGACGCAACCCAAACTGCGTGGAAACCTTTCTGCTTGTCTCGTACCCCAGCTGGTGGGGAAACTCAGGTTACTCAAGCACAGAATGAGATGTCCTTCTGTCCTTCTGAAGACCTCATGTACATACACAAAGTGGGTTTGCTGTGGGGTTTTTCCCCCCTCTTGGTGGTATTCTGGGATGCTCCAAAGCTTCTCTGCCCATCTTGTCTCTGGTAACAATGCAGTAGCTGCTTTTTCCATGGATCACCTGTTCATCTTACTTCCTCACTGAAAATTGAAATAGTGACACAAACTACAATCCTGACATATAATAAATCACCTGATTTATTATTTCTACATTAGCTACTTTCTGGCAAGACCCGATGCTCCTAATTCAAGATACCCAGTCAAGGCTGAACCTTCCACATCCCTTCCACACTGTCCATCACTGCCCTTCTGCTCACTCAGCATCTCCGTTTAGCTCTCTAACTTTAACCTACCTATTTTCATCTCATTGGGAAACATTCCAATACTCCATTTGCGCTTTTGTAATCTCTTTTTTGCTGTCTTACATCCAACTATTCTGCCATCTTTACATGCCTGTCCCTAACATCAACTTTTTCAGGGTTCTTTGTGCTTCCCACACCAACTTACATTTTACTCTACATGTTCTCCTGCAGCAGAAGTAACCTCTGAAATGCCTTATAGACACACTTGCTGGCTATCATGGATTCAATTTTCTCAAGAAAGGAGCTTCAGGTTCCACCTACTCCAGAACAGCAGCCACTCTGGAACAAAATTCAGTTTTCTTAACAGAGGATGTGTAGCTATGTCCTAAAATTTATTCATCGAGGGATGAAGTTTTGCCCAAGAGG